GGGGGGGGGACATGTCAGGGGAATTTAGGTAAAGGTTTAAGGATGTTTATGACTGCTAATGTTAAGTTAATGTTACCATGTTTGAGGTCAGAGTTCTTTTCTCTCTCAGAGAGAAGCCTGGGCCTGACGCAGTCTGGAGGAGGAGCTGATAAGCGTGTATTTAAAAAAACACTTCCTGCACGCTGCAGATTCTCATGACGAGGCTCTAAGCATGCGACTGTGAACATCTGTAAAATCCTGTTTCATGACTGTCTGCCCTTGCAAGTAAACTGGGTTAAAGATCTTCTCCAGTCTTTGTGTGGCTCCTTCTGTACGTATAATGAAAAGATCTTTTTTTATCCAACAGTTGGTTTGTCCGTAACTGAGGTAGTTAAAAAGCTGGGCGGCAGCAGGGCTCTGGGGATGGATGAAATCCTCCCGGGGTTCGTCAAAGCTCTGGATGTTGCGAGGCTGTCTTGGTTGACACGTCTTTGCACCGTCGCGTGGACATCGGGAGCAGAACCACTGGATTTGCAGACTGGTGAGGTGGTTCCCGTCTTCAAAAAAAGGGTGCAGAAAGGGGGACTGGAAATTTGTTCGATCATTAGGGCGTCACTCGCAGCCTCTGCGGCAAGGTCTACTCGGGTGCTGAAGAAGGGTCCTGGTGGAACCTCAGATTCAGGAGGAACAACGCAGGTTCAGTTGCTACATCCTACTGATACTCCAGTGTCCTTGTGTAACTGACCAGTAGACACTTTTCAACTGTTCTACTAGGTACTGAAAAAAAAATGGTCATGTCTAAAATGTCCTGATGCATGATCAATAATCCAGGTAGATAAATGTAACGAGGTCGAGCTGGACAATAACTCTACCACCTCTTCATTATCCTGAAGATGCTGTGATGTTTCTGTACTAACCTTGATAACCTTCTCCACCCCCGAGGAGCAGATCATGTAGGTGTGGGGGTTGAAGCGGACCTGGTTCACAATGGAGCGGTGACCCTTCAGAACCATGAAGGCTCCGTTTATGACATGTCCAGGGCCTCCTGTAAAGGAAAGCTTCGTTAATGCGACGATAGCAGATCCATACACACAAGACAAAACATGTCTAAATAAAACCGTTTTACTTTTGGACATTTGATGTAGAAACAAAAACCAGACACGAGGACCAGTCCTCAGAACTCACCACGTTCTGAAGGCACACTCCCACAATCCTCTGCTTTCTCATGTACAAACACAGAACTCATCATAAATACCACCTGGGCAGACGGTGCAGGAACTCACCTGCTTCTGGATCGTTTGGGATTTTCCACATGTAGAGGTTAAAGTCGTCTGATCCGGACAAGATGTACTGAAGAGGGAAACAAAGACCAGGAGAACATCAGTGGAACCCAACAACTCAGGCTCCCCGTCTCAGCCGGGGTCAGGAGGTCTCTGACATTTATATTTTTCTAACAAACTTGATAACTTTATGAACAGCGGGGGACAGAAAATGTTCGGAAGACTTCAAGCGTTAAAACAGGTTTGAATGCAGCCGTTCAGACGAAGCTCAATGATTTTCATCCGTCGTTTCGGTTATCGGCGGTCGCCTCCTCTGACCGATATCAGTATCGGCGATTGCCAGAGTCACCAAATTGGTCGGGCTCTAAATTGAACACTGGTACGTTCTGTCTCAGCTTCACCTGTCTCCACTTCTTTGAAGCTCATCCAAGACGGTGCAGAAAGTTCTGTCCAAGCTTTGACCAGAACATCTACACCAGTGTCGACGAGGTGAACAAAACCATTTTAGCCCGTTTGCTTTGAAACGTCTAAATGTCTTTTGACGGAGACATGTTGACATCTGTAGATGTCCAAGATGATGGGACTCGCCGCCTTCGGTCCATCCTGCAGAGTGCAGGTCAGATGGATGGACCAATCAGACACCTGCTTACATGTTTATCCAGCCACCCCTTCATGTTGACCGAGGCAAACTTCTGCCTGCTCTGGGGACGGCAGTGAAACTGAGCGAGCAGCTTCTGCAGCTGCGTGCGGCAAGGACGAGACTCTGTCGTGCGTTACTCTAACCCAGACCAGACGTTCTGCTGGGTCAGCCCGGTGACTGCAAGCTGAGAAAGTTGTTAACCTCCTTCAGACTGTGAGGTGGAGGTGAACCGAATCGACACTGTTGGACTCCTCTGACCTCTGGACCCACCTGATCTCGGTCTCCAGCGAAGCAGCAGCTCTTCATGGTGCAGGAGTTGAAGTAGCCCTGGTTATCGAACTGGAAGCTGGGCAGGCGTGACTGCAGCTCGTAGAGGACGGGCGGCAGGCGGCGCCGTAGGGCCAGCAGCTGAGTGCCTGTGCTGTTGAAGCGAACGCTCATGGCGCTCTGCAGGGACATGATGCCTCCGTAACGCAGCAGGGAGCTGAGAGCACAGGAAAGAAAGATTTAAAGGTTTCAGAGGAGCAGGTCCTCCTCAGGGACAGACCACCTGACGTGCTCTGAAGGCTGGGTGGGTACCCTGGTCCTGGACTAAAGACCTGGAGTCCTCAGGTAACAAAGTGAACTAAAAGACAACGTGGTGTGAAGAGAACCTACAGCTGTTTAAAGTCAGTCTCTCATGGGGCTGAGGTTAGGAGGCAAACATGGAGGGAGGTCCGAGCGTTTGAGCCCTCAGTGTCCTCATGAGGCTCAGAGGCTCACTTGTTTACGGTCTTCTCAAAAACGTTGCAGGCGTCACAAACAAGTCTCGATTTGGACACGTGCACGAGAGCTCTGCTTCATGCACGAGAGCTCTGCTTGTAAACAGAAACCGTCTCTGAATGTCTCGGTCTGTGAGCGCCGATGATGCAAAATAATAATTAGTCTGCCAGTCTTCACTCCCAGACTGTACAAAAATCATAAAGTTGGTGGGGAAAATTAAATCAAGACAATCACAGTGACACCTTTTAAATCCTTTACCTGGAGGGGGCGGGGCTTAAACTACACTACATACAGTCCCTGGGTGGGGACACCCCCCCTCCAGGTTTAGTACATCTGGATGGCCAAGGCTGGTCCAGAACCAGCTGAAACAGCTACAATCACTCTGCAGTGTGATGGAAAAGACATAAACTGTTTTATAAAGTTTATAAAGTCTGTTTTTGAGTTTGCTAAAGGCTGACGTGCTGTGGTGGCCATCTTGAACTGGGTGGGCTCCAAGTGTTGATGAGTTTCGATGAACGTCCAGCGTCTGACAGCTTCATTCAGTCGTGTCCAGCGACTGGCCCAGTGGTTTTAAAACAGTATGTGCTGGGCAGAACTCACAGCTACTACCATGCCAAGTTTAAACTTGAAGTCTGTAAACTGGTTGAGTTTCATTCAGATGTGTCCAGTGGGTCACGAGATATTTTGCTAACAGTACAGACCACCAACTCTAGAGCTTTAAGCCTGTTGTTTGGTGTCTGCAGTGAAATATTTCTGCACAAAGCGAGGCGGTTTGTTTGACAGAAAGCAAACAGCACCACCTGGTGGACCCAGACTGGGCCCGACCCACTGAATATGGTCACTGACCGTACCTGACAGGAAGGAGAACAGTGGACCACAACTCCTGAGCAACAGCTTTAAAAGCTACTTGTGGACAAGTGTGTGTTCCAACAACAGAATCTTTACAAGCAGTGGGGTGTAGTGGTGCAACATTTATAACCATCCAGTACAAAGTAAATCCAGGGTCAGAACCACCGGTACCAATCTGTTATCTTCTAAGAGCATACTGTCCAGGTTCAGGTAGAAGAGCGTGAGTAGGCTTCTGTCATCAACGTGCTGAGCTCCTCCTCTTCAATGACTGAAACTAGCTAACTGCGTGAATGCTGCTGCCGAGTCGTTTCAAAACATTCAGCTCTTCAGGAGACTCCTGCCACGACTTTTGGTTTGGAAATCATTTAAACGTTTTGAAATATTGAGCGTTTTCCGCTACATCTTTTAATTAAAACGCATTGAGATTCTGAAATCCTTCAACATCTTCCTGCTTTTTGAACTGTCAGCATCCTTCAAGTCCATTCAACTTTTAAACAACTCATAAGACATTCAGCTATCAAGAAATGATTCACATTTGTGATCAGGGATCTATACTTGGCCCCCTTCTGTTTTCCCTTTATTTACTCCCTCTGGGATATATTCTCCGGAAACATAGTATTACTTTTAATTTTTATGCTGATGACAGCCAAATGTATGTTCCATTAAAAGACAGAGGTCAAACAAACTCAAATCTTATAAGCAGCACCTGGATCAACCAGTTTGCTGCCGACAGCCAGAACTAGGTGTTCACGTGTAAAAGGAGGACCAGTAATGGATCGTTAGTGCCCTGATGGCCGCTTGCTATTCACAGAGGGCTGAGTGAAGACTGAGTTTGTTGCAGCTCCTCAGACTGAAGAAGTCTTCTGGATAAAAGACAAAATGTTTCAACAAGAACAATCCGTCCAGAGGACCTGACTCAAGCTGGTCAGATTAATCTACCTGGATTATTGAGCAGCATCAGGACACTTAAACGTGATCATTGATTTTTTCTGTCTGTGTTTAGATCAGCAAACATGCCCTTTAAGCCTCTGTCTGCTCATTTCAGCATTCTGTTCTGTTTTTCACCTTCTGTTCTCATTTTAGATGTTTTTGGCTCTTTTTAACTTCTTTCTGTTAATTTGAGGATTTTGATAAAAAAAAATAAAAAATCTACTTTTCAGTTTTTGTGATCTATTGTGGCTCTTTCAGCTTCCACTCACTCATTTTTAGATAACTTGGGTCACAATTCGGTGTGGTAGTAGCCCAGAGTGATCCTCAACAAATACTGGAGGACAGATAAAAATTCAATATGGCCACCAAAGACAACCCACGCTGTCCAGCAGTCCATGGACAATTTTATGTCCACGCTCTAACTCTGCAACTGTAACGCAGGATTGTCAAACTTTACAGCTGGACACCTTGTGGGTCAGCAATGATGCTGATCAATTTTAGGGTCAAAGGTCACCCCTTTATACCACTATAATTTAAAACTATTTAACGTAGAAATGTCGAATGTTACAGCTGGACACATCGCTGGTCAACAACACTATTTATTGTATCAGTAAATTTAACTGGATTAATCAGTTTCACTCCTTCGGACTCTAGTTTAGCTTTTCCTGCTATTTTCTAGCGTTTTGCTTCTTCTGACTCTTAGCTAACAGTTTCCTGTTTTAGCTAATATTTCATTACTCCTGCCACTAAGTTATGTGTTTTGTTATTTTGTTAGTATTTTGTTACTTTTGGATTCCAGCTAGCCTTTTCTTTAATTACTGATGATATTTAGCTACTTCTGGCTGTGAGCTAGTTTTTCCTGCTCTTTGCCAACATTTCCCTTCTTCTGGTTTTTAACTAACATTTATTTTTCTTTTTACTAGCTTCTTTTCTACTTGTGCCTTTATTCACATTATATTAAACTTTTTTTTGTTTGTTTGTTTTTGCTAATTATCGTTTTTCTGCATATTTTAGCAGTTTTAACTCAATTTCAACTTTTATTGTTTTTAATTTTTAGGTATTTTTTGTCTTTTTGTGCTTTTTGCTGCTTCACCTTTCCCACCCACATTCTGATGTTGTTGGTCCAGGGAGTCAAACCAGCGACCTTCCGATCACAGGCCCACCTTCTCTAACCACTGAGCCACCACTCCCCCAATATTTTAAATGATAATTAACACTGCATTTTCACAGGAAACAGTTTCTCTTATTTCTGTTTCAAACTCAGAATGGATGAGAAGTTAAATATTTTACTGTAAACAACGAAGCAGCGAAAGGAGAATGAGGCTTTACAATAAAAAATATCTAAACTTTTGTTTTTTTCTTTGTATGTTTGGAACAATGAACAAAAAAGTAGGAGAGAGAAACAAATTCTGATCCGCACAAACACCAGCGGAGGGAAATATTGATAAAACTGGTAATTGGATTGATCCGCACAACTTTATCTATCATCTGGTTCTGGACTCAGTTCAGCTACATTTCAGCTATTTTTTTTTTGTTTTGTTGCTAATTTCTGCTTTTTTAGCTAATTTCCTAATTTTGTGCAAATGCCTGCTTATTTAAACCTAATTCAGCAAATATGTGTCCTTTCTGCTTTCTTCTGCTGATTTAGGCTTGCTTTTCATTTCAGCTACATTTCAGAATGTTTTAGCTAATTTCAGCTGTTTTTCAGCAAGTTCTTCTGCAATAAGCATTCACACTGTATTTTTACAGGAAATGTAATTTCTCCAGTTACAATTCGTCTTTCTTTTTGTCGTCGACACACATTTTACTGTAGCTCATAGTTTTATTCTCTAGTAGAAGTGTCCTGCAGATAAAGTTGTAAAAACAGGAGTAAGCGTCTGACCTGCGGGGCTTGCGGATGTCCCACAGTTCAACACCTTCTTTGGAGTTGGCCGTGGCGAGCAACCAGGGCTCCACGGGGTTGAACATCACGCTGTGGAAGGCTGAAGGGTAGCTGGCCAGGCAGAACGGCTCTGCGTGAAAAGAAAACATCCACCGTGAAACTCCAGGAACTCTGCATCGCACCCATGAGGACATTTATAGTTAACCTGCGGAGACTCCGTTCACAGCTGACATTTTCTACGTAAACGCTGCACCACTGTGCGTTTAAAGCCAGGAGTACTTATGTGTGGCTCCACCCCCTGACGGAGTGAATGTAATCACCGACTCAGAACTTCAGTCCTTTCAAACTTCAACTTTAAAGCCCTAAAAGGCGAACGTGAAAGAAAAGGACGGATTGAAGCTAAAGATGATTAGTTTCACACCGTCCACAAGTTTCATCAACTTCACAGGAAGTCCAACAAACTACAGATGAGGTGTTTTCTTCAGCACCACGAGCTCCGTCCATCAAACCACATCCATGTTGGTTTTAGGCACTGATTCATGGTGAGCTGCAGTTTTAGAACAATAGAACCTTTAAAAACGTATAAATCCACAAATGTCCCCGACACGTCTGCAGAGAGCAACAGCAACTCAACTCGTCCACGTGAAGCTGGAACTACCGTTTGGTTTCTGACCCGGCCCTGAGCAGACTCGTGGTGGACACGGGGGTCCTCACCTCCGTGCGGCTGCTCCCGGGTGTCCCAGATGAGAACCCGCCCGTCATCGGAGGAGCTGGTGAACACGTTGTCGTTGACGGGGCTGACGGACAGGCTGTACACGGCGTCGATGTGCAGAAACACGTTCAGCGTCTCCCGCCTGGACGAGGGAACAGCAGGCCTGTTAGAGTTTACACTGTCGCCCCTGGTGTTTTTATATTTACACTGTTACCCCTGATGTTTGTGTATTTACACTGTTGCCCCTGGTGTTTGTGTATTTACACTGTTGCCCCTGGTGTTTGTGTATTTACACTGTTACCCCTGGTGTATGTGTATTTACACTGTTGCCCCTGGTGTTTGTGTATTTACACTGCTG